ATCATGATCCAAACCATTTCCATACCTCATACGCAAAATAATATGCAAAAAAACATGATCCAATTTTTCCTCATTAGATGACATAGTAGGCACAACGTGGAGGGAACATTGATTCCATGTATTGAGACTTTGAGAGATTGGAGAATATGAGAGCCCATTTAAAAGACTCCATAACCCTCTCCAATGATTTGTCCACCGCCATTTAAACATCACACACGAGAACCGAAAGTTAGTAATCAAATTAACAAGATCCAATAACTAGTTGGTCTCTCATTTTTCATGTCCAAATTCAACAATTCTATAAAACATATCATCCCCTGTTTTGACCCTATCAACAGTCAGTCAATCCTTATTAGCTTCAATCACATATGAGCTCAAGTAGACTTCTTTCGAGGCCAATTTGCTACACCAAATATCTCCCCTAAAGAAGGTTCTATCGCCTTCACCCCATTCTATGAAAGAGGCCATTAAGCGAAATTCCATGATTTTCAAACTCCTCCTATGAGCAAAATGGGGCACATCCTAATGCAATTAATAAATCTTGTCATTTATTATAACCACTTTTGGAAAAGACTGTATTGTTATGTCATTTCTTTCCTTTTATATATAAATAATTTTGAAATACTTTGTATTTTTTGTAGATCTTTCTACAAAGTTGAATATAGATTCTCATCAATGAAAAGGACAAATAACAAATCTCGTGAGTCTAGTCCGAAATATCTAGCTTGTGTAGTTACATTATTTAAATAAATATAATAGTTAAACTACAAAAGATTATCAAATGACAACATTATTGAAATAGAGATTGAAAACAACAACTAATTCTTGAAAAAGTTTCTTTACATTGGTTAACCAAAAATTTCGAAAGTAATTAACCCAAACAAGTCGACGCCTAAAAGTTAACACAAGGGAATTTTAAAGAACCCACAAACGTTGACCAAACTGACCACATGAATTACTTTGACTTTTTGGTGAAAGAGAAAAGCAAATTTCTATGTATTTATTTTTAATTTTAGGTTTTAGAAAGAAATATAAACAATAGAATAAAGATTTGTATTGGTAAAAGATAAACAACACACGACACCAGGAAAAACAAAAATAAATACAGAAAAGCATCCCATGGGTGAGATTGAGAATGACTTCCTTTTTTTATTTTGGGTTAAGTCCATTTCCAACACATTTGTGGGTCCCACAATAATTCTACATGGACCCACTTGCTCGATGTCTACATTTCAATCGGGACCAAAACTATTTGAGAGGAATAATATAAATACACTATTTTATTCTATATAGTATATACTATTACGTTTTAGTTTTACTATACCATAGTATTTGTAATTTCTTTTAAAAAATACTCATTATATATAAGAATAAAAAAACTATTATTTTGAAATGTATTACCTAACAAAAGTAAATAAAATTTTCGGTCATGTATTTTCTTCACTACTAGAAAACAGGGTGTTTTCCTACGGAAATTAGTGACAGAATTTTTCCGTTGGAAATTAGTGACGGAATTCCGACGGAATTGTGACAAACATAAAAACCTTAGTTTTAGTGACAGAATACTGACACAATAGCTACGACAATAACTTCCGTCGGAAATCCGTCAAATACCGACGGATTGTAAACGATATTCTAGACTTGGGTTATCCGTCGCAAAGGAACGCACGGGAAGCACAAAGGGAATTGGAAAGGAGGAGATGCGAAAAAAGCATGCCTTGCTTGAAGCACAAATGACAGCTTTTTTCAAGCAAAACAATTTCCCCGAAAATCCGCCACAAGGAATATAGTTTATGTTTCTAATCTAAACAATTGGTAATCGTATTTTGTGACACTTTTTAGTTATGTTCAAACAATTGGTAATTGCATGCGGAGTATGATGTTTAATTATGTACTTGGGAATATTAACTAGTTTATTGTTAGACGTTTAAACAAATATGACACTTTATGATTGCATTTCTTTTTTATGTATTCATTTTAGTTTACTTTCTGCATTTGTGTGGAAACAAAAACTGGATTTTTTTTTTATTTTTTAATTATTAAAAAAACATTTTTTACCGATGGAGTAGTGACAGAAAAGTCTGTCACGAAAAGTAAGAGTATATGTTGGCAATCCGTTGGTAAACCTTCAATAACAATTCTGTCGGGAAGCCGTCACTGAATATTCTGTCGGTAATCCGTTACTGAGTATTTCGTTGGAAATCTGTCGCAAAAGGTGTCCGTCGGAACTCCGTTACTAATAAGTGTCCGTCGGAAATCCGTCACGAAAAGTATCCGCCAGAACTCCGTCACTATTTCGTGGTTTATTTGGTCAAATAAGTTCAATAAATGACCGTCGAAATTCGTCGGAAATCCGTCAAAAATTTCGTTGGTATTCCATCGGTAAAAATTACCCACGGGGCTTTTTACGACAAACCGAATTCCGTCGGTATTCCGTTGGAAATCGTGTTTAGCGACGAATTTCCGATGGATATGGCCGTCGGATATCGCCCAGTTTTCGAGTAGTGATTTTTGCCAACGTTTATGCATACATGCAACATTTCTTTTCATTCTAGTCCCTATTCTGTTAAAATATATTAGTTGTGAAACCCATCATTATATTAGTTTGTTAAAAAAAAAAAAGGTTAAATATAAAGATGTAAATATTTAAGAAGTTTGAATTTATAAGAAAAATGTGAAAAATATTGAATTATTCAAATTAAAATGTTTTTTTCTATTATAAATTTAAAAAATAATTTAGATAAATAAACAAAGAAAATTATTAGAGCTTTTAATTTAGAAATTTTGAAATTAGAAGATAACTCATTAATGAAATTGATATCAATTTATTATTATATTTGTTGCAATTTATTGTATTTAAATACTATATGAAATTTAATACAATAGAAAAAAACAATAAATGACATGTACAAAAAAATTAATTTAAAATAACTACAAAATGATATGTAACAAAAAATGAGAATATAACATGTAGCAAAAAGATCTTTGTTTATTAAAGTAGATTAATATTTTTTTTAGAACGACGAAAATATCAAAAAAACTAGCAAGGAGCTAGAAAAAGAAAGCCATTACATCAAAGTTGTAGCAGAAATAGGATTATGAAGCCAAGAACTCCAACATAACTTAGCTTTACAACACCTACTAGAAATCCATAAAAAAGCCCTATAAACAACATCATAAAAAAGAAACGATTTTTTAGGTGTGGTCGATCCATAAATAGTCGAATTCCTGAAATTCCAAATACACCAAAAGCAAGTTATAACCACTGCATCGAAAGCCTTTCGTTGGCCACCTCTCATAGAAACGGAGTTTGACCACATAATAAGAGAATGAACTGACATGTGATCCGAAATCTGTATCCCTCACCAAATAGCAATATGCGTCCAACTGTCACACAACTCAGAGCACCCAGAAAACAAATGCTCAATAGTCTCCACCCTACACGAACAGATAGGACAAAGAATTGAGTCTAATAGAATTCCCTTATAAGAAAGTCTCTCTCGAGTAGGAATACTGAGTTTAACGAATCCTCCACAAAAGAACATTAAGCTTATTAGGAACCCAGCTGTTCCACCGAGTCTCACCACATCCTGCGTACAATAAGCTACCATCAATGAAACGTCGAGCTGACGCAACCGAGAAGTTATCAGAAACATCAATAGTCCAACCCAACCTATCAGGAATCGACTGCAACTGTAAATCCTGAATGAGAGAAAGAATTTCATCCCATTGTTCCTTCTCAACACCTCCTCTAGGACTACGTCTAAGAGTATCAGTCTCCCAACCCACATCCATTCGATTTTTTACAGTAGCATTTCTAAAAGTGTCTAAGGCAAACACTCTATGAAAAGTAGTTGCAAGAGACGCCTCTCCCATCCAAACATCATGCCAAAAAGAAGTATAACTCCCATCACCAACCCTGATAGGACATAAGGAACGGATATCAAAACCTCTGTCTCGTAACTGAATGAACATACGCATAACTCCAATCCAAGGACCTGTGCCAACTATCCTAGAGGGCAAAGACCTACAACCGCCATCAGGACCATATAAAGATCTGACCAAACGAGCCCACGACAGATTAGGAGAATGATAAAATCTCCACCACCAACGAAACATCATGGCCCTATTAAAGGAGAATAAACTACCTACACCCAATCCACCCTCTTCTCTACTAGCTAGAACTCTGTCCCATCTGACCCAGTGCATTCGTCTCTCATCCACATCCGCACCCGAAAAGAATTTAGCCCTCATGGCCTCTAAGGAGGTAAGAACCGACATGGGAACAAGAAAAATCGACATCAGATTAATATTAATTTCCTAAAAACTTACAAATAACCCCTAACTTTAAAAGATTTATATCTGAAATTCTAGGATTAAAATAAATATGATACTTCTATAATTTATATATGAAATTCTAAGATTGAAATTTCATCCTATAATTTTTTTTCATTGACTCTAACAGACAACAACTTTCTTTATAATATAAGATTTTCTTTAAGATTACCTATGAGATACATTTCCAAAATTCTTTATTCTAAAAAATAAAGTGTATATCTAAACACTTCAAAAAAAAAACGTTAAATATAATACGTCGATAAAACTAAAAGTATCAAGAAAATATCTATACATTTTAATATAAAAATCATTGCAAATAATCCTTCGTAAATTGATTTACATAAATATTATCTTATACTAATAAAATATAATAAATTAATATTTTCATTTTAAATAATTTAAGAAAAGCCTCAACCTGATAAAGCTTATTCAATGGTTTATTGACTTGCAAAAGCAAGTAAAAAGTAGCTTTTTACCATCTATTTGTCATCCCAAGTCAATTGACCAAAAAAAAAAACATCACTGTTTTTCTTTTCTTTTTTAATAAAAGTGCAAAGTACCATTGACAAAAATTTAGTCTATAAATACATATTATTATGCTACATTAAACACACATGATTATGAGATACAAATCAATTAACCAGCGTAATTAAGACATTTAATTAATTGTTGCTAGCGAAATGCCTCATTGATCCCATCGTTGAACCATAAGACGCAAACTTCACTAGATCTTGTGGCATCAATGGCCGGCCACCTTCTCCTCCCATGCCCAAAAAGTCTCTCGTTAATCCATTATCGACTCCACTAAAGCTTCGCTGCATCATCTTCAATGGCGGCATTGTCTCATTTCTTGACATGATCATATGTTGTCGAGCTTGAGGACTCGAATTGGATGAATTGTTGTTCATTGGAGTCGAAACTTGTGGTTGACTTGCGATATGAGGGAGAGAAGTAGGGATGTTGATGTTGTTGTTGTTGTTGTTGTTGCTGTTGTTGTTCACCAAACTGACTGCAGTGTTTGATGTAGTGGAGGAGTTCATGAGCCCAAAACTCGATCCGAAGATTGATGGGTTGCTTCTGGTTGAACCCATTTGAGCCGCTTTTTGAAGGAGTGCAGTAGCAGACATTGGACCAGTGGATTCGGTTTGATGGGTTTGGTTCATTGAGTATAACGAAGCTAGGGTTTCCTCTTTGAGACCTTCTGGTGTCAATGATAAACTTGGAATTTGGTTGGAGTTTGTAAAATTTGTCATTGGAGAGGAACCAAAGACATTAACCATATCCGCTAAACCTGCGGAGCTTGATGACATGTAAAGATTTGAATTCATAGCCATTTGATCCATTGGAGAAAGATTAAGTTGAGAATTTGCTTGGTCTAACCAAAGTGATAATCTTGGCTTATTGTTTTGATCCCCAAAATCAGACCGGAAACCCGACCCGAATTGCGTCATCCCTGAAAACCCATGAGGAAAATTAGGGTTCATCACGGATTCGTTCATAGCTTCGTTTTTCAGGCCAAGGCTATTCGGTGTCACTGTGGTGAGTCTCACACTTTCTTCAGCCAATGCATCGCAAAAAGCTCGATGAGTTATGAAACTATCTTTTTCTGCAAAGAGAATATTGAAATCATGCAAAACGTTAGACCATTTAATAGTCATGAGTCACATTTAATGTCGAAATGCATTAAATTTCAATGTTTGGAATAAAAAAACAAGATTCTGGTATTCGAAGGAATTAATAATAAATAACCACCTGGAGAAAAGTGTGCCACAATCGCATTTATACTCTCTGGTACCACAAGTCTTGGAATGAGCTTTCCAGTCGGATTGAACTGCATACTTCTTGGAACACTTTTCACACTTCCATTTCTTCTCGCCATGTTTCCGGCTAAAATGTTTCTTGATTCCGGTGAGATCTCCAAGTGCTCGCGACGGATCATGGTGGACACAAGATTTTTCCGGGCAAATGTAGACTTTCTTCTTGATGGGTTCTTTATTGTTCCTTTGTTTCAGCTTCCATGGCAGATTGTGACCTCTCCGATGAAGTTGCAGGTTTTGGTCTCTTTGGAAACCTTTGTTGCAGATTTCACATACAAATCGGTTTGTTGCCATTAGTGATTTTGGTGAAAGTGCCATTACTTCAGCATCTGGATCTGTTTAAACATATAATCAGAATAATTAAGCAAAATATATCGAAAATTAAAGAAAGCTATATTACGACACAAAACATGTTTACTTTTGGCAAATTAATAGATTGGATTATTGTTAGAATCCTAGAAATGGTTCCAAAATAGTTTTGGATCAACTCTCAAAATAGAAAAAAACACAAGTTCCAAAATAAAATGAACCCTTTAATTAGTCTCATAGATGATGATTGTGTAATCAGTTCATGTTTTAAGAAAGATCCAATGCTCCATACTCATCGAAGGTAATTAAAATATTTTATAAATCGATTGAAGTATCTTGTAATTTACTTATAATTACAAGAATATCATATTCAAACATGAGAAAATTTGTTCTAGAAATAGGATTTAGTGTGAGCGAATTCATATTCGGATTGAACCAATCAAAAAGAATAATTTAAATCTCAAAAAAGACCATTTATTTTCAGTAATCAAGATACCAAGTTATAAAACGAACAAACAAGAAATTAAGAGATGTATTCATATCTCATATATATACCTGGGGTGCCTGGTAAATTCCTCTTCTTCTTGAGATTGGAGATGGCTTTAGGGTTAGGGTTTGGAGCTTCATGAAGTGGAGGTGGAGGTGGTGGTTGATGATTGTGGTGATGAGTAATAGGAAACATCTCACCAGACATCATATCCGGAAAAGTTTTTGTTGCCTTTTCAGCTAAGATTAAGATTGAAAGCTTTGGTTGTAGTTTAGCAGCTAGCTAGTAAGCACTTGGAAAAACAAACAACAAGATTTTGAAAACAAAACTAGAAAACAAAAACCAAGTAAACGCAGGAAAGTCTTTGGTTTTATATATGTATATGTGTTCAAACAAAACTTCCAAGAGAAGTATGTGTAGGATTGTGCCAAAAAAGAGCTAAGAAACAATTCACTTTGAAACACAAAATTGCTGAAAGAAGAAGCTGTGCTGTATCAACCAAAACAAACAAAATACACAATAATCTAAAGAGAGTCGACGACTGTGTTGTTACAGACAGAAAGAGAGATCTGGTGGAGTTTACTTACAACTAAATTGTTGTGTTTTTTGGTGTTTTTATCATTAACAAAACACCAAAAACAAGAAAACCCCAATGCTTTCAAACCTCTCTAAACCGAATATTTCACCTCTCTCTCTCTCTCTCTCTCTCTCTCTCTCTCTCTCTATATGTCTGTCTCTCTCTATCTCTCTCTTATTGTGGATTCTTAACTTGCTTACTCTTTGTTCGTCTTCTATCCTTTTATCTTTGGCCCTTATTTTCAAAGTCGGTCAGCCATAGATTTAGCTGCTTGGGCCCCCCTAGCCTCTATATATATATATATATATATATATATATATATATATATATATATATATATATATATATATATATTAATGGATATATCATGTGTGTATATTGGCTGGTAGCTGCTTGTACAGAATGTGTAGAGTTGTGTGTCATTTGTAGCTTTTCGCACCTCAAATTCCTATTATCAACACCATGTACCTTTCAAAACATTTAATATTCTTATACTCGTCTCTATACATGCACATAACAAGAGAAAGGCTAGCTATAGCTTGGGGAGTGAAACTTACTTTATTTGTTTATTCAAAAAACAAGACCATGGACATACTAATTAATACTGTCCTAAAAAGTTAACATAAATTTACACTACGAAATTCAAGAAAACAGAATTTAAACAATTGGCTATACCAAATTGGTAAGGCCATTTGCATATATATCTAGTTGATGATATTGGTTTATAGGAATGTCTGTTTTACTTCAGTCCTAATTAATACATTAGAGTGTTTTATTTTCCTTTCAGAAAAGGATTTATCATCATAAAATTATCGTATGCCTTATAAAGATTGCCGGCTAAAAGAGGTGACATGGTAACAAAATTTTATCACAAACTATTTGTAAAACGTAAATTAAAATAGTTGATCCGTACACAACAATATTTTTTCATACACAACAGTTAGTGCTTTAAAATGTTGTACAATACAATCATGTAAATCATAGTTTGTTGTGTATGGAGAAAAAATGTTATGAATGGATCACTTCTCATAACAAAATTAACTGATATTGACACGATATTGACACGTAGTAGTAGGTTAAAATGTCATCATCACATTATTCCCATATAATTTAAATAACTATATAATGTTTTGAAATATGGTATGAATCCAAATATTGTGTTCCAATCCTACATATATAATATAGTCCATGCATGCATTATTAAAAAAAAATGATATGCATTCCCTACTCCAAACTCCAAGTTTGAATTATTCCTAACTCATATGATTTTTCAACTAGTAATACTGACTTTATATTTTTAATACAAATCACTAGAATTAAATTCTTTCTTGTTATTAATTATATAAAATTAAGTTTAAAAAACCATTATATCTGTTTGTCTAAGAAGACAACAATAATATTTTGCAAATTAATTTCTGGAGATGGAGTAAAATTAAAATCCATGGTTTAATTAATTAAAAAGCAAAAAAAAAGTTGAAGTTTAAATCTAGTGAAAGCGAAGGAAAAGGACTTTTATTTTAGTCACATCCATGCAATTAAATTATATTATTACATAAATGGAGGTCATATATGTTGAAAGAAGGAAAAAGAAAGTAAAACGATGGGATGTTTACTTTTGTACATTTGATTTGAAAAAAAGTGTGTTGCCTTTATAAAATGATTACTACATAATTAAAGATTGGACCTTTAAAAGAAAGTGTTGAAGATTTAGGGCTTGAAGGTCCCGAGGAGGAAGACGATGAGAGAGAAGAGATTGAGTCCGTGATACCTGTGTCTGGAGATTGTGGGGTCTCCAATGGCTTCTTTTGGTCTGTAGATCTGATGATACCATTCGACTCCATTCATTTTTTATCTCTTTAAAGCTTTATGCATGCATGTATTTGATGTGATGATGGATGATAAGTCATGATGCATAGGGTCCTAGTCTCTCTATTCCATTGGGTTGCAATTTGGAGTACCTTCTTTTTCTTCTGTTCAATCGATTTATATATTCGACCAACTTAACGGTGGATTGCGTTATAATGCTTAACGCTACGAGCTTTCCCATATATACTATATAGCCAATAAATTGGAATTTACTTTTTATTTACTTATATAATTTTTTTACAATGAGAAGTTGAAGCTAGTTTATTTGTCTAACAACGTGTCTTTAGCAAAGAAGTTTTGGGTTCCATCCTATGCATTTACTATCTCGCTAACTCACTGTTTCTAGAAAAATTACAATAAATTTGCTTCCACATAAATTACACTTTAAATATATTAAATCTCTCTATTTTAATAAAAAAAAAATAGTTTTATTCTTCTTTTGTCATGTGTCATCTTATTAGACAACCTAATTAATATTATTTCAAATATATTAAATCTCTCTATTTCAAATTTCAATCTTTAAAAATCTCATTCTGATTACATTAAATTAATAACATTATAATAAAAATTAAAATAAAATTAATATAAATTATAAGGTGATATAATTACACGTATTTATTTAAATCAACGATTATAATTTTATATATAACTAAAAAAATATATCTTTTAATTAATAATTTATTTAAAATAATTGATTAATAGTTTTGATTTTTACAATGAAAATTTAATTAATTTTGTAACCGTGGTTCTCACGAGTTATAAACTAGTTATCAATAAAAAAAAGCTTAGGATAAATTGTTAGAGTTAATTTAAGGTTAGTTTTTTCGGCAAGCATAACAAGAATTCAGTCCTTTAGCGACGTCATCAATAGCGACGACACCATCCTTTAGTGACGACAATAGATCACGTCGCCGCTAAAGAGTACTGTCGTCTCTATATCCGTCGTCGCTAAAGTTCTACCACCGACGATCCTCGTTTACCACACGTCATTTGATCGTGACCGTACGATGCTAAACGGATCCAACGGCCAGGGTTTCATCTCGTGGGAAGTAATAGCGGCGACATCAATTGCGACGACGTGTCACCGCTATTGATGGCGATCCGCGTCAATGCCATCCTAGTCGTTCGATTGATTTTGGATCGGACGGTTAATAGTGGCCACAGAATGGCGTGTGTTTTTCCCTCCAACGTGTCGTCGCTATTGCCTACGCGTCGCCGCTAAAGGCGTCACAGCTAAAGGCGTTGCCGCTAAAGGTGGCGCGCTTTTGACTCCCACTTCGTCCCAGACGAGTCATTTTGTGCACCTTTTCTTTCTCGCAAAACCTCCGGCGAAGCTCGTTTTTCCGGCATAATACACCAATCCATACCACCACTAACCGTAGATTGCTTCTAGGGCTTCAATTTCCGTTGATTTCCACTTATTTCCAGCGATTACCACCTATTTCCGACGATTATCGGCGTTTTCCGACGATTTCCGGCGAGTTCCGAGTTTTCCGGCGACCCTAAACCTCCTGTAACATACGTTTTCTTTTCCCTTTTCTCTTTCTCTTGTTTTCTTACCATATTTAGCTCTAATTTCATGTTTTTTTTGGTGTTTTTAACTAGTCTCCGGTGGTGGTCACCACCACAGCACCACTGGTGTCACCATTTTCCGGCGACTGGTTACTTTTCCAGCGACTCAGCAGGTGCCTCTTTCTTTTTCCTTTTTTTTTGTTCTTAATGTATAAGTATATGTGAATTGTATATATTTTGGTATGTAAAATTTATAATTTGGTTTGTGAAATGTGTGTATTTTGGTATGTGAAATGTATGTATTTTGGTATATATATATGTGAAATCTACATGTATGAATATGTATGTAAAAATGTATATGCAAATGTGTATATGTGAATTTGTATGAAAAAATGTATGTATATGTGTATGTATAAAAAAGTGTATGTGAAAATATGTATAAGTGTATTTCTATGTGAAATGTATGTATATGGGCATATATGAAAAAATGTATATGAAATATATATATATATATATATATATATATATATGAAATGTAGGCATTTTTATGTGAAAATGTAGGTGTTTGTATTGAAATGTATATATGTATTTCTATATGAAATGTATTTGTATGTATGAAAAAATATATGTGAAAAAAATATGTATAAGTGATTTGTATGTGTGTATTTTGTATGTTATGATAAAATATGTGTATATTGGATGTATATGTATGTAATGATAGGATGTTATAATTGAAAAAAAAGGATGTTGTAATGTACAATGTCTTTTTAAGTATTATAATATAATAAAAAAACAGATATAACTAAGATAATATAAATAAAAATAAATACGAAAAGTTATAATGTCATAATAGAATAATAAAAACAAAAATAAGTTGATATTAAAAATCAAAATATGGAAAAAAAAGACGAAATAAATAACAAATATATTATATCGTTTAAAATACAATGTTATAATAAAAAATAAAAATTAAAAATTAAAACGCTAAATCTACTAAGTTATAATTTACTCAAAATAGAAAAATAAAAACAAAAATAAGTTGATATTAAAAATCAAAATATGAAAAAAAAAGATGATATAAATAACAAATATATACTATCGTTTAAAGTATAATGCTATAATAAAAAATAAAAATAAAAAATTAATACGATAAATCTAGTAAGTTATAATTTAATAACTGAATTATTTAAATTACAATGCTATAATAAAAACGAATTTTTTTAGTTTAAGTCTCTTCTTTTTAAATAATCAAAAGACTAGAAATACCCGCCCGTAATTGATTTAGAAATTAATTTCGGGGTGTCTTCGTTTTGGGACTCCTTTTTGAATACCTTATCTCATTCAGGATGTATATATGTATTACATGATTGATTGTTTAAGAAATATTCGGTTGTTATTTTCTCTTTGCTCATCGGCATATAATTTTATATATACTTAGGAGCTAAGGGGAAATGCTTTCGAATTTTTCTTAAACGGTCAATCATGTAATACACATTTGCATATGAGGTAATGTATTCAAAAAGTGGGTTTAGAAGTCTACCCTTGTGAATACTCTCCCGTTGTCCGGTTTTCTATTCCATCTGATTGAGCGGTTACTCTATCCTTATAAATATTCAATCCTAATTCTAGTTCTTGTAGAGTAAACACTAAAACCTAACTTATGTTTCAGTTGCAACATGTCTATTGATAAAACATGGACTACTATTGAAAACCATAACTCTACCTTGTTCCAACAAGGACTCGAATCTTTTCTCGAGAGGTCCAAAGAACACGCCGATAACAAAGGTCAAATCAGATGCCCGTGTAACAAATGTAATGTCAATAAATTTATACTACTAGCCATAATGAAATTCCATATACTTCAACATGGTTTTAGTCCACATTATATTATATGGAAGTATCACGGTGAAAATACAACTCACCCGTTTGTTTAAGACATACCGCGTAGTAATGAGATGGTCGATGTTATTGATGATGTTATGGGGGGTGTGATTGAAAATGATACCAACCGCGACGAAGGGAACCCAGATACAGACGGTAGCGGTGTCAATTATGGATTTCAAAAGTTGTTAGAGGAAGTCAATTAAAATTATATCCTGGATGTTCGTTTTTGTCTCTTGACTTCTTAGCAAAGCTGATGCATATCAAGGTAATCAACAAATAGACTGATAGTTCATTCGATCAGATTCTTGAGTTGTTGCAAACTGCATTTCCTCAAGGAAACAGCCCCCCCCCCCCCCCCCCCCGTCACATTACGAAGCAAAAAAGACACTTAAAAATATCGGCTTGGGTTATGAGTCAATACACGTATGTAAAAACGATTGCTTTCTTTTCTAGAAAGAACACAAGTTGTTGCAAAAGTGTCCAGTTTGTAATGAGAGTTGGTGGGTTGATGAAAATACAAAGGGTAAGAAGGTGGCTCATAAGGTTTTACGATACTTTATCGTGACCGCCAGACTACAACGTCTGTACTGTTCTAGACACACAGCTAAAGATATGATTTGGCACAGTACCGGACGACCCAAAGATGGTACGATGCTTCATCTCGTTGATGGTACTTCATGGAAAAAAATTTGATATGAAGTATCCTGACTTCTCGAGGGAACCCCGAAACGTACGCTTAGGGCTTGCTGCTGATGGTTTTAATCTGTTTGGTAACACGTGTAATCCTCATAGCATGTGGCCCGTCATACTCACCGCTTACAATCTTCCACCATGGCTATGCATGAAAGAGTCATCTTTCATATTGACCTTGTTGATTCCCGGTCCGTCATACTCACCACTTACACTGAAGTGTCTGAGGGCGAGAATGATTAAAAAAATATTTACATTTGACTAGTAAAATAAGGTTTGTATTTGTTGTAATCATATCATATTATATGTATATATATTCATATTGTGTTATAATTTTTCAGGATGTCATTTTTTTGGATTGCATTGCTCCATCTCATGGTTGCTGTGATGGGCCATGGAGGCGACGGTGGTGACGAGCCACCACATCCGTTCGGTGGAGGTTTTGGTAATCACCAGAACGATGGCAATTAAGATTTATTCTAATTCATTGTATTTCATATTGTATGTATATAAAAAATTATTTTGACTAATATTTTTTTATGCAGCGGTGCCTCCGAGACGAAGAGGCATGGCGGTAAATAAAAAAATGCACAAACTATTTAAAGCTAACGGTGAACGGCCTCTGAAGATAATATTCGACATAAATACTAACATGCCGATTGGGGAGGTGTATGAATGTTTCATTCGGGAGGTTGGGAGCTATATGTGGCGGGACATCGGGTTTGATAAAGACACCTGGACTGATGTTTCTGAAGCCGAAAGGGTTGGCATGTTCCAATATCTTTCAGTAAATTATTTATAAAGTTATATATTTAATATTGTTTAATTTGATTTATTTTTAATTTCTCTATTTTTTGTAGACATGATTTGATTTTGGAGCGATTACAAATCATCCCATGGCTACAAATTATTGGGTGTCACTGAACAATCGGATATGTGCGCGGTATAGAGGCCGCAAAAATATTGCAAAAAATGTTTGACTGATTTTTCAGGGAATGTGGAGGCAGCAAGGGCTCAAGCCCCCTACGGGTATGGATCTGCAGCGTTGGAATGCT